TTCAGCGATGCTCCTGCAGAGTGCCGGGGGTTGGACTAGATGACCTGCAAGGTCCCTTCCAACATTCTATGATTCTATAACTCTTGATTCCTCAGGGACAGACTCGTCCAGAATGAACGAATCTGTTCCCCCCAGTGTGGGGGTGGAAAGGGCCAGCAAGTCGCTGCCGGCTTATGGTGACCTTGTAACCTTTTCAAGACAAGAGGTGAGCAGAGGTGGTTGGCCATTGCCCACCTCTGCACTGCAACTCTGGACTTCTTCGGTGGTCTCCCATCCAAGTAATAACCACGGCCAACCCTGCTTAGCTTCCAAGATCGGATGAAATCAGATTAGACTGGGCCGTCCAGTCCAGGGCTGGAAGAACCCTCGTTTAGCAGGTGTTAAACCCTCAGTGTGATCTTTGCACCCAGTGATGGTCCCTGCTTAACTCTGCATGTCTTCCTTCTGCAGGATCACGTGCTGTCACTTGCCTTTCCAAAGCAAATGGCTCTACGTCGGGACCGAGCGGGGAAACACTCACATTGTAAATATCGAATCCTTCGTCCTTTCCGGATACGTGATCATGTGGAACAAGGCCATAGAGCTGTGAGTCTGAGCTGTTTGTCACCACCTCTTCATATTGCTGATATATTTTTTCCCCGGCTTTGTCACAATGTCACATGTGCTTCTTTGGGACATTAAAAAAAACAATTTTTGTCTTGGTCCAGCTCTAAGTGTACTTTAGAAAAGGATTTATGTGTGACTCCGTGTGCTCCATGGATGGAGAGTTGAATGTTTGTTCTGTCGAAAGCCGTGCAACTTAAAGAGAGGGCAGCCGCGCTTTGATGTGCATCCCGGCGCATATTTGGAAGCACATTTTATTTATTCCCACAGCCCCTAATCTAGAAAGTTATATATATATTCATGCCTCTGGAAGTGTGCTTACTCAGTTCTCTCTCTTTATGGATTTGGACATCTGTCTTGAAATAAGGATCTTTTACTACTATTATGGGGAGAACATTATGGAGCAGTGTTTTCAGTTTGGAAACGGGGGTGCCTTGTGTCCAGGTTTTTGCCAATGCTACCCCCTCCCCTTCTTCTGGCAGTCCCTTTTGATCCCCAGAAAGATTGTTCTTGAGACTGTGGGACCTATGCAAATGAACAGCAAGGGATACGAAGAGTGTGAAATCACTTCATCCTCTTTACTGAAACCAGAATCTCTCTTGCTTCTCCCCCTCAACCAGGCCCGTAACTCCGGTGGAGCTTTTGGGGGCTTTGCCCCGTCCTTAAAGGAACAGCCCCACAAAAGTTTGTCCCGTAAATGCTTTTTTCAATCATTTAAAAACATTTCTAAAAGGCGTGCACTCCCTTAAGAAGAGCGGGGTGCTGTAGTTGACTAATTCCCGTACTGGGCAAGGGGGTTGGAGTGGGTGACTTCTAGGATCCTTTCAAACTCTGTGTCAAGACACTGGTCTCCCTTAAGAGAGTTTTTCTGCCCAAGTGTTAGCTTTCTTGACTCTAGAAGTCATCACCCCCTCCTGCCATCTCGTGATCAGAATTGTTGCTTAGGCTGGCAGAAGTGATTAACTTGCAGCAGCTGAGAACTGTCATCTAAAGTGGCTGACAGCTTGCAATTTAGAGATCTATTTTGGTAAAACAGCTTTCTATTGGCTAAATGGCCTTTCGTTCTGCACTGAGAACTTCAGCCCCACCAGGAAAAAAAAATTGCCCCACAAGCCACAAAATCCTGGCTAGGGGCCTGCCCTTCAGATTTTGTGAGCCAGCAGCCAGAATGTTCCGGTTTCAAATTCTAAGAACTCATGTACTTAAACTGGTAGATCAGATGAAACGTACATCTACCAGCACTCTTTTAAAAGATGGGTCACCCATTGTACTCTGGGAAGTCCCTAGGCAGGGCATGATGGCACTGGATCTCTTCTTTTGCTTGGGGCTCTTTTTGTAGCAGGACATCGTACAGTAGTTTACAGTAGCCCCTGTAAGAAGAGCTCTGTAAGCTCCTGGAGGATTGGCTACATTGGGGGTGTGTCGCCTAATATGCAAAGGAGTTCCTGCTACAAAGAGAGCCCATTCCTGGTACTCCGAGGTACCAGGGAGGGATTCTCTAGCCATCACTGCTAATTCACAGATCTATATTTCTCAATTTTTCCCAGTCCTTGAATTGTCATTCTAAACTAGCGGCCACCTCTGCTAATTCTCTACCAGCTCTCTTTATGCCATTCACAGCTCTATAGACCTCTGTGATGCCCTCCGTTAGGCACCATTTCCAAAACTAAAAAGCTTCCCGACGGTGCAGCCTTTCCTCCTGGGGAAGATGTTCCAACCCCTCGAGGATCTTGGTTGCCCTTTCCTGCACCTTTCCCACCTCCGCAATAGCCTTTTTTGAGATAAGGAAATGAGAAATGTTCAAATGTAGCCTGACCACATAAAGACCATGGGAAGGAATGGAGTTGCAAACCCTTCCCTGCGTCTCCTGGTGGCGCCGGGGAAGCCGGAAATACCCCGAGGCTGTCCCAAGTCTGTGCTTGGAGATGCCGCACCTTCCCCTCACTCCCCAGGAGTACAAAACACAAAGTGCTATCTACCAGCTTCCAGTGACAACTTTGAGAGTATCTCCACATCTCACGCTCTGTACCTGTGTTGCCATTTAGAGGCTTGGCTGAATTGCTGCACCTGCCTGCCTCTCTCCACAAGGTAGTGTGGGGGCAATCTACTGCAACGTCACAAGCTCAAGCTATTGTATTATAGGGATGGTGAGCTGACCCAGGGTGTCTGTTGTGGGGAGGGGAAGGGAAAGGAGATTGTAAGCTGCTCTGAGACTCCTTCGGGTAGTGAAGGGTGGGGTATAAATCCAATCGCCTCTTCCTCTTCTTCTTCTTCTTCCCACACTTCAGATAGCGAAACAAAATAGGTGCAGTGTTTTTCCAGAGACCAGACTTAGCGCATTCAAAATATAAGCAAGCATAATAAATGTGCAAAAATATAACACAGGCTATTGTTCAGGTGAAAAAAACACTGTCTTCTTTCCTTAGACTAGACACTTCTTAAAGGATGTTTAATTAAAGAAAAGAACAAAGTTTGAGTCCAGTGGCACCTTTAAGACCAAAAAGTTTAATTCTGGGTATAAGCTGTGGATGCACACGAAAGCTTATACCCAGAATTAAATTTTGTTGGTTTTAAAGGTGCCACTGGATTCAAACTTTATTTTATATCTTCAGACCAATGTGGCTACCTACCTGAATCTAATTCGGGATAAGTGAGCTTTACTTGAAGTTGAAGCAGTTTAAAGTTCAGCATTACCTTAGTTCTTGTGGCTGGGTCTTCTCTCCATTGTCCCTGCCTAGCCGACAGGATGGAGTCCCCAGGTACAAGTTTAGCCCACCATGGTTTGTGCCCATCCCAAGAGCTGTCCAAAATGGAAGAGTAAAAGAGCTTCTTCTCATTTCCTGAGAATTTATAATCTACCTTGGGGAGGCTGGCCCCTTTGGGGGGGTGGGTCATTTGATCTTCCTGCCACAAAAGGAAGTATATATTATCTAGTTATTCAGCTCCTAGCAGTCCATGTCCCTTCTGGGTGTGACCTGGCAGCGGGGTGTAAGGCACTGAACTACTGTTCTGCTTCGGCCAGACCCATTAGCAGAGGCAAGAGTTTGAGCACTCTGTGCTGGGAGCTTGATGGCTCCTTTCTTGAACCCCCTCCTTTCTGCCAGCTGTTAGTCTGCAGCTGAGCTCCTGCACAAAAATAGAGAGCAGTCACAATAATTGCAGTCTTGGGGTGACTTCCTGGGTGGAGGGCATAGATACACGGGGAAATTCCTAGAGTGTCAATATGAAGGCCATTTTCTCGCCATTTTATATTCCATTCCTCAGTTTCTCAAGGGATTGGGTCCTAGATAGGGTTGCCATGTCCCTAACTTCTGCCAACGGGGGGACGGAGCTTCCATTCCTGGATCCTCTGGCACGCTCTTGTAGCACGCTCTTGTAGCACCCGGAAGTTATATCATCGTGCCAGGCACGTCGCTGGAGGATGCTCTAGTATTCAGCCAGAAAACTCTATGGTACCATAGAACTTCTTTGCTGAGTGCTAGAGCATCCCCCCAGCGATGTGCCTGGTGCAATGATGTCACCGCCCCAGGCATGTTGGCACAATTCCAGGGATAAGTGAGCTTTACTTGAAGTTGAAGCAGTTTAAAGTTCAGCATTACCTTAGTTCTTGTGGCTGGGTCTTCTCTCCATTGTCCCTGCCTAGCCGACAGGATGGAGTCCCCAGGTACAAGTTTAGCCCACCATGGTTTGTGCCCATCCCAAGAGCTGTCCAAAATGGAAGAGTAAAAGAGCTTCTTCTCATTTCCTGAGAATTTATAATCTACCTTGGGGAGGCTGGCCCCTTTGGGGGGGTGGGTCATTTGATCTTCCTGCCACAAAAGGAAGTATATATTATCTAGTTATTCAGCTCCTAGCAGTCCATGTCCCTTCTGGGTGTGACCTGGCAGCGGGGTGTAAGGCACTGAACTATTGTTCTGCTTCGGCCAGACCCATTAGCAGAGGCAAGACTTTGAGCACTCTGTCCTGGGAGTTTGATGGCTCCTTTCTGGAACCCCCTCCTTTCTGCCAGCTGTTAGTCTGCAGCTGAGCTCCTGCACAAAAATAGAGAGCAGTCACAATAATTGCAGTCTTGGGGTGACTTCCTGGGTGGAGGGCATAGATACACGGGGAAATTCCTAGAGTGTCAATATGAAGGCCATTTTCTCGCCATTTTATATTCCATTCCTCAGTTTCTCAAGGGTGGGGGATTGGGTCCAAGATAGGGTTGCCAGGTCCCTAACTTCTGCTGACGGGGGGACGGAGCTTCCATTCCTGGATCCTCTGGCATGCTCTTGTAGCACGTGTGCTGTGATAACATCACCCGGAAGTTATGTCATCGTGCCAGGCACGTCGCCGGGGGACGCTCTAGTATTCATTTAGAAAACTCTATGGTGCCATAGAATTTCTTTGCTGAGTACTAGAGCACCCCCCCCCCAGCGATGTGCCTGGTGCGATGATGTA